CAGCCTGGCAAATTATGTTAGGTTTCCAAATCTGTAGGCTGAAGTCAAGGAAGTGAAATGGAACCAGGACACAAGACCACAATAATCTGTGTGTCAGGAAAGTTCTTCCTGGACACAGGGGCACATATTTGTATCCCAGCAATCCCAACACCTTTAGCAGCTGAGGCAGGACCAGAAGTTCCAACCCAGCCTAGACAACTGGGTGAGACCATGTGTCAAAAAATAAGAAGAGCTGGGAATTCAGCAGTGTCCAAGGTTCAGTCTAGTACTGCCCAAAAATAGGGTGGAGTGGAAACAAGAGTCCTGTCAATGCCAGGTCTTTTTTTTGGTTTGGTTTACTTTTATAGTCTTTTTATGTAGTTCAGGCTGGCCTCAAACTCACAGCAATCCTCTAGTCTCAGCCTCCCTCCCTGGAGCTCCAATACAGGGGTGGGCCACCACATCTGGCTCTCCCTTTGTTTTACATTCCTTGATAACTTTTGGATTTGAGGGACTCTACTCCTATGTTGTCAGTTTTATGGTGTTTTTCTTTATCCTCTTTTCTTCAATAGAATAGGTTCCAGCAAATATTTCCTAATTTAACAAAGATCTATAGGTACAAGCTGATTATAAAACTTCAGATCCCTCCCAAATAAAACGAGTATCAGTTAAGTATTACAGAGTAACAAAGGCACAGAAAAAGATGGAGTTTACTGCTCTTCACAGAACATTAAGAGACAGTCTTGGTAAGATTTGAACAGACTATACCAAGAAAAATGAGAAATCAGGGTGATCTGGAATGAGAAGCCCTTCAGATTGAGGAAACATTACAAAATGTGTGGAAGCAAGATGTGCTTGGCCTGTATCAAAGGCACAGCAAGGAGGTTGTGACCCAACCAAACTTTGGGCCTGAATGTAGCTAAAATCAGAAAAGTAGCCACAGCCTTGCTAGTGGAATACTGTGTAACAAGATCAGAGTCATGGTCAGGACAGAAATGATTTTCTATACTGTGAGGCTAACTAACACCCAGAGAACAGAAGCACTTCATCACTGGGAGACTAGAGAGAGGCCTTGTAAAGACTTCAAAGATTTTTTAAAAAGTAAACCAGCAGCCCCACAAAGACTGCAAAGAAAATAAAAGGAAACTAGCAAAGAGTTCAAATTCAGTAACAGAAAAACGTAACATTTTTCTCTCATCAAATCAGCAGACTGTATAGTAACAATTACCCACTGCTGAGGACAACACTAGGAAGCAAGCATTTTCATGCCTTGAAGACTGGAGCACAAACTGCTATAAGCCTTTAAACAATCAGTTTATCAGAATGAGTCAAGAAACTGGAAAACAAATTCTTTAACCCCAAGATTTATGAGAAATGTTATAAAGATTAACTCAAAAACACTAGAAAAATTATGCCTTTGAATCCACATTTAAACCAGAGAAGTTACTCAACTAGAATCTGTAGCATTTTATTTAAATAGATGATGCAAGAGCATTTTCCATTTAAGGAAGACAAAGTATCCATTCCAACTGGTCTTCAATCTAAGTGCTCTAGTTTCTGAAGCTTAAGACAACAGTACTGAAGCAGTTACTAAAAATCTAAAGAAAACAAAGACCCAGATACAAGGTGGACCACGGTATCACAACGTGGGCAGATCCTGCAGATGTCACTTCAGAGGAAAAGCCCTGCAGATTACTAACATGAACAGGCTGAGAGGAAGAGCCAAAGGGGAAAAAGCCAAAGACTATCATGACTAGGACACTATTTTTAAGGCAGAAACTCCAGTAAAGGAAAACAAAAAAAGCCAAGGTTCTTTACTCCACTTTGAATCCACATTTAAAAAGGGGAGAAAAAATTTCCGTGGTGTATTTATGATTCAGTTAAGACTCATCTATACAGAAGTATGTTGAGTATGAGATCCTTATTTCTAAATAATTTGCAAACTAGGTTAACAGTAAAAAATGAAAAGCTAATTTGGGGGAATGCCAGTTTTAAAGTATTTTTTTAAAAGGTTTTTTTTTTTAAATTTCTAATGTATTTGGTTGTTACAGGATCTCACTACACTGCTCACTCATAGTGATCATTTTCAGCCTCCCCAGTGCTGTGATTATAGGCATACTCATGTGGTGCTAGGCACTGAACTGTAGTAGACACTAAAGCAGGAGCTTTACTATGCTGAGCTATTTCCCTGGCCCCCTAAAGTATTATTTATTGTATTTTCAGAAAATATTAAAAAATTCCAAAACCCAGGGAAATCTCAACTTTACATAGTACTTAACCCTAAAGTATAGGAGGACATCATGCTTTAAAAACTAATGGCTCACACCTGTAATCCCAGCACTGAGGAGGCAGCAGCTGTTCAAAGCCAGCCTAAACTGCATTATGAAACTATCTCAAAAAAAACCTAATAAACAGAAAAGCAGTTGTAGAGGAAAACTATTGAGGCTCTCAAGTGGCAGATAGGGAAAGCTGAGTTCCTGAATATACCATGTTGTGCTTTTAAGTGCCTGTATCTGATCCTTACTATTCCTTTCTCAAATAAAACTAGGCCACAGGTTAAGCAACTTCCACTGAATAACCACAGCCTGGAAACTGTTCTACAGCAAGGAGAAATGTGAACCCTGATTTTTATCCTGCTTTCAGAAATGGCAAAAAATAGAGGATAAATTTGAAATGTAATAATCTCATTTCTGTAGTAGTAAAGATTGAATCTAGGGCCTTTATGCTGAACTATTTACCCAATCCTTTTTCTGTATTTCAAGAAAGGGTCTTACACTGTCATCCAGCCTCCTATGCTAGGCTTTAAATTCTAATTTTCCTGCCTCAGGCTCCCAGTCCCAGGGAACCAGGAATTCAGGCATGTCACCATCATGCCCAGCTCAATCATAGATCTAAGTTTCCACTACTAGAATGCTAACTCTTAAGGACAGTTAATAGCTACCACCTATTATGCTAAACATTCACTGACATCCAAGTCCAGGTCTGCCAGGTTACAAAAGCAATACTGCATCTACTTCCCATCCTATTTTATTAGAAAAATATTCAAAGGTGACCAATTAGGATTTTTTCTTCACCCATAGCATTCACTACTTGGGAAATCAGACTGTCAAGTTAAGTCCAATGCTTGACAGAATACTAAACACAAACACACAATAAGCTAAAAGGGTTGCAACAAAGCATAGTACAGAACAGAATGGAGGCATGTCAGCAGTGAGGATGTTGTTAGAATGACAAAGGCTAAGGCTGTTCATAATTTGATTATTAGTTCCCTTATCAAAGGGCTCAGAAAGGAGCAATGGGCCCAGACCCAACTCAGCTCTTCCCTCTTCTGAGCTCATGAGGATAGTGCATGTCCACTCTGATAGCAACAAGGCATCTTCTCCTTTGTGGGAGACTAGGACTTCCCAGCCTCCAGAACTACAAACACCCAAGTGTCTACTGACGGACAGATACTGAACAAAATCTAATGCTTACATATTATCTTCCAAATCTTTCAGGAGATGGTCAAAGCAATTCAGAACTAGACTAGAACTCACAAAAAGTGCTTTAAACAATTTATTTAACTGAAATGGACTTAAGTTTGTTTCTGAAGTGACTTCCATTTATTTTGATACATCTTTTCCCCATGATGATTTACAGGATCTTCAAGCCAATATAAATACTTTATAAATATTTGAATTTGTGGGTATACACCTGCGCAATACCTCAGCAGTATCTTTCAGCAAGAAAATACTGAAGAGTAAAGGTTAGACACAATTACTGGGTACAGTGAAAATCTGCTGCAAATATTTCTGAGGTAAGAAGGCACCACATACCTGTTCAACTAAAAAAACCACCCTTACAACACAGGATGATTTTAATTTTACATAGGACCTAGAACACTTAAGCTGCCAATTAGGTGCTGAATGGCAGAGCAACGTCCCCAGTTTATGCCATGAATTCATAGGGAATGGGTTCCAACAACTCGGGTTCCTTTCCATTGGTCCTCACAAAGTGTGCTTCTCTGGGAGGGGCAGGCTGTTTAGGAAAAAAAAAAGGTGTTAGATAAAGTACTAACGGGCAGTGTTTTATTAAAGTATTCTTCACAATAACTGAAACTATACTCAATTCTTAAATTCTACACACAAAAATGGAAGACTACCCCTACCAAGTCAAGGTCTCACCTGGCGTTTCAGCTGAACCCAGGTACCTTTCTCTTTGGCTTCCTTCTTTTTCTGATCATTTTCCTTGACACGTTTCAGGAAGCTATCACGACTTTTTGAGTGTTTAATATGCTCAATACGCACATTAATCCTCTTGGCAAGTATCTTGCCCCTGCAGAGAGCAGAAATTAACAAATGTTTTAAGAAAAATAAAATGGGAATACAGAACACTATTTCAATAGTTCTATGCAGTAAATTACCAATATTTTATTCAGGATAAACAGGGTGATGGCTTGACCACGTAATCATTAACCCTCTTACAAAAGGGCTTGAACATCACTACATTAAGGGCGCTCTTCTGATGAGGTGACAGCAGAACCTCTGAACACTAGTAATTTAACCCAAACAGAAATTATTAAAATAATTTCTGTACACCAAGAAAACCAGAACTGTTTAATACCAAACTGTGTATTAAACAGCAAATACACAGCAAATCTACTTCAGACTGTTTCCCCTGACAGGTTACAAGACAAACACTCAGTTTGCCTGAGTTTTAAAAGGATATTTCCTTTGCCCCGCTTGAATGACCAATAAAGACATTAAGTCCAATTGGCAAAGTGAAAGGGGCTTTATAAAATACTAATTAGCCATATGAGCTATGACATTACTTACTTAACTTGCTTGTTTACAACAATGCCAACAGCATGCTGGGTAACGTTGTAGACTCTTCCCGTTTTGCCATGGTAACATTTGTGAGGCATTCCTTTTTGCACAGTACCCATTCCCTGGTTAAGGACAGAAGCATTATTCCAGTAATCCCCTCTTCCTTTTATTAGCATGGCTAAGACACATTAAGATTTCCTACAACAGCAACTCAAGAGCTTTCAGAGCCGGTGAAATGTGTTTTTCATATTGCTTAAAGCAATCATAAAGACAATCATCATTAAGCTCTTGACTGTGAGGATAGTTAAATGCTTTCACATAAAGACAGCACTCTCTATCGCATGGACCAAACTCAGGACCTTGTGCTTAATAAGTGAAGTACTTATGCCTCTGAGCTATCTCCCTGGCACACTTAAGAATATTACACTAAGGTGTTCCTTTTTGTGATAATCAACTTATGACCCAATCCCACTTCTCACTGGGTAATTTTAGCAGATGATGATAAAAGAAATTAGGCCCACTAAACATAGAAGTTTTGCTCATCTGTAATCCCAATACTTGGGAGACTGAGGCAGGAGGATTGCCATGAGTAACAAAATAGAACTTTAAAACAGCACTTTTTCGGGTACAATGTGACTAGCCAGCCCCAGACAGGATTTACCTAACCATATGATTCCTTTAGAGAATTTTATTTTGGAACCGGGA